CTGTCAGGGGGAGGAGGAGGAAGAGGAGGGTCCACCGGCATCAGCAGCAGCTCTTCATCTCTTCATGTGCTTCTTGGACAGATAAAAAAAAAAAAAGTGCTGCAGAAACATCATATTTCTGTAGATTTATTCTGTTTTTGATGAGATTAGAAGACCGGAAGTGGGATTATTTCTCCACTTTTTGTCCTGGAAATGCTCCCCTGCTCTTCATCCGCGCAGATGGAGGGATGTGAGGAAGAGGAGAGGGACGCGCACATGGAAACAGAGGTAAACCGGTCCGAAACAGAACCCTGCGGTTAGTTCTTGATCAGAACCCTGTCAGAACCGAACCTCTCGCAGCCTCTCCGGCCGGCCGGCTCCTGGAGGATGGAGACACCCGGACCCCTCCCTACACGCGCCTCCGCCGCTGCCGCCGCCGCTGCCATTTTCCCAGAGAGAAACCGCCTTAAATTCACATCAAGTTGTGATTTTAGAGTCTGAAGAATAAATTATTGTTTTTATAAGTAAAAAATAAAACAAAAGTCTCAGATTCAAATAGACCTACATGAGAGATTTGTCCTATCAAAATTAATTCAGGAAGAACAAAAGCTAAAATATTCACAACTGACGCCAGAATATAAAAAGAGTAAAAAAGCAGCTACAAGCTAACATGGGCAAAATGCTAAAATGATCAAGACTTCAGCTAACCCACAGCTAAAAGATAAAACTACAAAACCATTTTTTTCAATACTAGCTAAAGGTCATTTTTAATTAAACTAGCAAAAGTCAAATTGCTAAAACTGTAAAGGCTAATATTAGCAGCTAAAAGCTAACATGAGCCTATTGTAGCCACAACTTATAGTGAGCAAAACTTGAGCTAAATGCTAAAATGATCAAGACTTCAGCTAACCCACAGCTAAAAGGTAAAACTACAAAACCAAAATTTTAAATACTAGCTAAAGGTCACTTTTAATAAAACTAGCAAAAGTCAAATCGCTAAAACTGCAAAGGCTAACCATTAGCAGCTAAAAGCTAACATGAGCCAACTGCAGCTACAAATTATAGTGAGCAAAACTTGAGCTAAATGTTAGAATGATCAAAATTGTAGCTAACCCAGAACTAAAAGCTAAAATTAACAAAACTGCAGCTAAAAGTTACTCTTAAAATTAGCAGGTCAAATCACTAAAACTAAAAGCTGTTTGTTGTGGTTCTGGATGGAGCACAACAGTTTATCTTGTTTGTGGCACTAGTACCGAGCTAATACATATAAGGCAATGGCTGTGTCCAAAACGGTGGGCCGGGTCCTCCGAAGGTCGAATTTGTCGGCCACATACGTCACAGCGCCGCGACGAAGGACGTCCAAAACCGAAGACTCCTCCGATGCGGCCGACAAATACGTCCTTCCTTTGGCCCGAATCGAAGGACAGGTCTGATGGATCCTTCCCGGCCCAGCATATCCCATAATGCATTGCGGCCCGAGCGGAGATTTTTTTATGCTAGTAATGGCGGACGAAGCGAGAGAAAAGAATACATTTTAAATAAAAATATGGCGATATAAAAATAATTTTTTTTAGCAGTTGTAATTCTAATACTTTTATCATTTGTATAAACGTGTTTTTAAATATTATTTTTGTCATAAAAAACGCAAAATAAGCATGCACC